GAAGGTTCATCATGTCTGAGAGCCTCTCATTACTCTTGACTTGTTTCCGTGTCATTCCCTCTTTATCTGGCATTGTGTCTAAATGTATAAAGCCATCTTTCTACACCATTTGATGTAGTGGTCACAGAGCTCAAAAATAACGTCCGTACACCTCAACAGCTCTTCCCAATTCTTCTTCAGATTATTACTGGAGTTAAAATTTAATTTAAAAACAGTGTTGCACCCACGCAACATTATGGCAGACCTAGTGTCTTTAATGCTCATGAGCATTCAATTGTCAAAGCTGAAATTGATAGACTCCTCGCTAACGTGGTCATTATCCAGGCGACACAGGAACCAGAGGACTTTATTTCCACAATATTTTTACGACCGAAAAAAGATGGCACACACCGTAGCATTCTAAATCTCAAAGCGTTTAACAAATTTATAGCTTACAATCATTTTAAAATGGATACACTAGAGGCTGCTGTAAACATGACGAGGTCAGGTTGTTTTATAGCTTCGGTGGACTTAAAAGACGCGTATTATACCATTCCTATCCACCCATCTCACCAAAAATACTTAAAGTTCTGTTTTGACAGTGTTTTTTCAAATATACCTGTCTGCCTAATGGCCTAACTAGTGCCCTGCACATATTTATTAAACTATCGAAACCTGTGTATGCCACACTTAGGAGTGTGGGACATCTCAATTCAGGGTATATTGATGATTCTTATCTGCAAGGCAACACCTCAGCTCAATGTCTTAAAAATGTGATTGACACCATCACCATGTTTACCAAATTAGGGTTTCACATCCATCCAGAGATATCAGTTTTCATGTCATCCCAGAAATTAACTTTCTTATGGTTTGTATTGGATTCTATCGCTATGACAGTTACACTTACTGGGGAAAAAGTTCAATGGATTCTGTTTGCACTATGCTCTTACAAACACAACTGCCAACAATTAGACAGGTCGCAGAGGTTATCGGGTATTCTACTGTCCAATTTTCCTGGTGCTCAGTACAGACCTCTACACCACTGCCACCTTGAATGGGATAAATATCTCGCACTCATAGCAAACAAGGGTGATTACATGGGAAAAATGCACTTATCCCCTCCCACTTTCACAGAAATTCAGTGGTGGTGCAATAATGCCATAACTCTCAAACAAGATATCCACTACGACCACCCCAGTATCACAATTCAGTCAGACGCATCAACATTGGGCTGGAAAGCGGTTTTTGGCACTCAGGAAATGGGGGGAGATGAACCCCTTTGGAAGCTGGATATCATATAAGTATATTGCAATTACTTGCAGCCTTTTTTGCATTAAAGTGTTTTTTTTGCCATGTGAACAACTGCCACATCCAAATTTAGATCACAGGGCATACTAATTGCTCTGTTTTGGCCAACCCAAATGTGGTTTCCATTACTCCTACAACATTTGTGCGACCAGCCCTGGATTCTGCCCCTACGCCCAGACCTTCTTCAACACCCCTCTCACAGAAGCCCACATCCCCTACACAGAAATCTTCATCTGTTACAACTTTCCAGAGGAGGTTAAAGAAATTCTCATGGCAACTTGGAGGAAAGGCACTCAAAAACAGTATGCCATATACATTAAAAAATGGATGGCATTCTGTCATGTAAGACAAATTAATTGTTATTGACCACCACCGAGTGACACCCTTCAATTCCTCAAGGGGCTTTTTAATCAAGGGCTTACCTACTCTAACCTTAATAAAGCTTCCTCTACCTTAGCTACCATTGTTGTGATAGATGGGGGAAGCTTTGGTAGCAATCACATTGTTACCCAGTTTATGAAAGGGGTATTTGAATCATGTAGACCCAAACCTAAATATGACAAAATTTGGGATGTTTCAGTGGTTTTGAAACATTTATCTTCTTTATACCCCAATGAAAAATTGTATTTAAAGGATTTAATGCACAAGTTACTTATGCTAATTTTACTGGTTTCGAGTCAACAAGAGCAATCAATACGCTACTTAGATCTACAACATCTTACCATGGAAGAGGATAATTCTTTCTTCGACGTTGCTGAGCATATTAAGACCAGTACTCCCCGAAGCCCATATATGAGGATTGACATTGCTGCCTATGGGCCAGACAGATCAATTTGCTCCCTGACTTGTCTGAAGCATACATCAACAAGACCAAGAACTTGCATAATAACGAAACAAAATTGTTTATTAGTTATGTTAGACCCCATAAGCCTGTATCTAGGGACACAATTTCAATGTGGACTAAGGAAACTCTGACTTTGTGGGATTGATACCAAGGTGTTCACAGCACACAGGACTAAGTCAGCATCTGTTTCCAAAGCAAATGAAAAGGATGTCCCTGTCCATCAGATCATGGCTAAGGCAGGCTGAAAGTCTGCCGAGATCTTCCATAAATATTACAATAAACCTGTTATTCAAGGAAACAGACTAGCTTCTGCTATCCTCAACCAGTGAAAACTTCGCAATGTTTCTTGTATATTACATGTACTATTTTTGCTTATTTTGTTGCTGTTAGACCATAAATTACAAACATATTTATCATTGCTTATGCTCAATCTCTTGCTTTTGTATGGATTTCATTCCTCCTGTTTGAGTGCATGTCGTATGGATGCATCAATCCTTTAATGTCTCATGGGATCTCTGCCTTCTGGTGATGTGACAGAATTGAAAAATTAAATGAGACTTACCTGTAAGTTGAAGTTTGATTGAAATTCTATCACATCACATCAGAAGACAAGAGATAAGATGCCCTCCACTATCTACACTTACCCTCTCTGAGGCAAGTTGGTTGCCAGTCTTTTTCTAGTTTGGCTCTTTCGGCCAGCATACTATTTTTTGGTACACCCAGTATGTGGCTTTTAACTATGACTTGCGCAAGCACCGTGCTATCTCATGTGATCTCTCGCCTTCTGATGTCATGTGATAGAATCTCAATCAAACCTCAACTTATAGGTAAGTCTTGTTTAATTTTTCAATTCTCCTGCTCATTCACCCATCTTTCTGCTACAGCAAAAGTGTTTATCCAAGGTGANTTACCCTCTCTGAGGCAAGTTGGTTGCCAGTCTTTTTCTAGTTTGGCTTTTTCGGCCAGCATACTATTTTTTGGTGCACCCAGTATGTGGCTTTTAACTATGACTTGCGCAAGCACCGTGTTATCTCATGTGATCTCTCGCCTTCTGATGTCATGTGATAGAATCTCAATCAAACCTCAACTTATAGGTAGGTCTCGTTTAATTTTTCAATTCTCCTGCTCATTCACCCATCTTTCTGCTACAGCAAAAGTGTTTATCCAAGGTGAACGCTTTTGCTGCTTATAAGCCCTTTGAACCCTTTCCTGCCCGAGACCCACTTTAGTGGGTCCCGATATGGCCCATACTTCAACTCGCTCCCAGTAGACATAAATGCGTATAGGGGGGTTTAAGCATTGCCACAGGGTACATATTTGAAACAAGCTTTCAATCAATTTGAAGCAAGAGAAGGTTGGCGAGGATTTTGCACAAGTTCACAAGTTTGTTTTCAAATTTTTGCTTTCAAAATGGCGTCGGCGAGCACCTCTCATGCTGAAGATGAACAAGAATTGATTTTTTCCTCTTCTGGAGATGAAATTAGCGATTTTGAAGGCTTCGATATTGATGAAATGTCCTTGAGTTTCATAGCACGTGGAAATGAACAACGTGAGTCTGACAGCGACCAAGATATGGACGATTTCCTTGATGAAAGTAGTGATGAAGATGATTCAGCTAGCGAGTCAGCTGATGAGATCGTTGAAGATTGGAGCAGTATTCTTACTCCTCAAACGGCGAT